GCGCGGAGGGACACGGCCCCGCCAGCCCAGCTGCGCTGGTGAAGCCGCCCGGCATCGCTCCCCACTGGGCAGAGGGGCTCAAGGGAGCCTCCTAGAGCACCTCGGCCCTTCTTACTGGCGCGGTTTAGCCCACAGATGTCTTTTCCTGTACTTTTTGTCTGCTTCAAAACCACAACTCTGCTCCTTGCTGCTCCACGAAGCGGCAACAACTGAAGCTGTTCAGGGCGGCTACGAGACAGTGCAACTGCTGGGCAGAGGACGACGAGCGGAGGCTGGAGGGTCCCTATGGATGCAGCAAATTGCAAGGCAGGTTGTGCCCAGCCCAGGACACCTGAGGCTTCCTTGAGACCCGGGAAGAAACACCCAGAGACCATGGGGACCTGGGAAAGCCACATTGGCAGCAAAGCAGGCAGGGACGCTGGGACACGCTCTGCTTCATGGCAAAGGCATCAGCACTTAGCGCTCCTCAGTGCGTGACTTCAGTCTGCTCCTGAATTTGCAAATGGCACTATCGGAGCTAAATCCTGGTAGGCTTCATAGGCCAGTTCTTCCACAAAATGATCCTAGGGTCTGGGTTATAAACCACATGCGCAGACCTAAAGGAGGAATGACGATCAGCTAATGCGTAGCTACTTTTTCCTGTTAAGGGTTTGAGAGGCTGTTTCTGAAAATTAGACCTTGAGAAAAGACCTCAGGGCTGAAAGAAAAGGAGGTTTGGGAATACGGGACGCATTTAACTTCAGCCTTTACTGCCGGCAAAGCGGGCAGTCTGCAAGAGCTTTTACGAAGGCAGCAAACCCTCTGAACTGAGGCACCTGCGCAAGAGGGAAGAATCCAGGCATCGCTATTGCCCACCCCGCCGGGCTTCGGAAGTAAGACACGCAGGTGCAAAACTAGCCCCCTAGCCCACGGGGACGGCAATTCAAGAGAAGTTGCCCTTTTCCTTTTGGTTTTGTTCCCTGTTTGCAAGAACTTGCGCCGGAAGGAACAAAACACAACTCCAAGTCAGCGTAAGGAAGTAGACAGGACATCAGTGGGAAAGGGATCAGGCAAAAGCAGCTCCCGTTGCTTCACGACGTGGCTCCTGGCAACGAGGCAGCACCAGGAAGAGCTAAAAGTCGCAAGAGCAATCCGCGCCTCCCTCCTCCCAGCCCTGCGCTCGCTGCGTTAGCGTCTGGTGTACAGAGATGCTGGGATAAACCCAGTTTAGAGGTTCAAACCGTGGAGCCGCAGACAAATAAGTGGTTGACTCGCTGCTGTGATCTCTCTGATAGGGACTATCAGATGCAGCAGACATGCATTTGCAGAAGTAATTAGCCATTCCAGGTGCCTCTGGTTTTGGGCGCCCAGCCTAAGATCTTCTGAGGGGGCTCCAGGTTTCAGGGAGGGCTGAGAAGATGCCCTTTGCTTAAAGGCCCTGCTTTTTGGTCTTGATTTGGATACCCCATTGCAGTGCCCTTTTGTTTTGGCTGGATTCTCCCACCAGCCATCCCTTCCCAGATGCAGCCCCAAACGCTACAACCTCCGGTTCAGCTCCAGATGGGAAGAACAACACGCAGAAACACCCACATATCACACTGACCCATCTCCAAGGCAGCTGGCCAGTGATGCTGAGACGTATGCGGGGCGGTAAAGAGCAGGCTTGCCAGCAGTGATAAAGAGAAGACCAATAAGCATCCTAAATTCACGCTCAAAACTCTTCACTCATTTGTTATCATAGGGCGGGGAAATTTCAGCTGGGTGCTAGTGCTTGTGTCAACAGCCTTACATATTCGGATAAGCCTAAATGCCTCTGGAAGTCCAGAAAAAAAACAGCAAGAGAATCATTTCTACTTGTGCTTGTGCAAGAACAAAGTTTGTCTCTTAGGAATTAATGGCTCTAAGGGCCGCCCCTGGCTCAGGAAACCCTCTAGCCTGAGCTGGTGTAAGTTGAACCCCAGTTCATTCCACTTGCCGTGTTGTATCATCAGCATATCACTGTGTCCTTGGCAAGGCAGAGTCTGGTACAAACTCCTGCCTGGTGTCTTACCTTTATGGGAGGCTTTCTCGTGAGGTGAGAGACGAGGAAGTTCATGGCAATGTCCTCACAGTTGATGTACTCATCCACCATGTCACGGATGGCTTGTGGCATCACGTAAGAGTACAGGTAGGCGTAGTACTGAACGGGACAAAAAGGGGCAACGTTGCTCAAGGAGGTCCAAGGCAGAGAGCGCCCACCTACCGCTGGTGCCACCTCGGGGGCACCCGAAAGCGTCACCATACCCAAGCGGGGCAGGCAGCACCATGACCGGCCTTGCCATGACCGAGAGCGCTGCTGCCATGCAAGCGGCCCCATTGCCCATCTGCCTGCTTCAGCGCCGTGCCACTTCCTAAACGACGCTCAAGGCAACCGTTTGCTGGGACGCACACGACAGGGAACCGCGTTTCGGTTTGGAAGAAGGGAGAAGGAGCAGCGAGCTCCAGAATTTCTTCTTTTAAAATAAAGCCACTCTAAAGCGAACCGCCTCCGGTTGCTCTGAAGCGGCAGGGAAGCGGAGGGCTGGCGGCGGAGCATGCGTCCGCGCTATCTCACCTTGTGGAAGAAGGCAGCGCCAGTGAGCACCATCGAGAGCTCGCACGAGTAGTTGGAGTTGTAGAGCCAGGCCTGATGGGGGATGTCCCACGCGTGGTAGCGCCCCGGGAAGCCCACGATGCGGTCCCGTGCCTCTCGCCAGACCCTGCAAGCACAAAGCCTTTCGGTGAGAGCTGGCGGAGCTGGGGGAGCAGCCCGGTTCTGGCTAGCATCCGTTACACGCGACCGGCCATGACCGTGCCCTCGGTGCCGACGTGCTGACTCCCAAGGGAGCGGTTGCAGGTGATGGAGACTGTTCTGCATCAAAGAGCTTGGCAACTGCTGGTCCAGAGAACGGCCAACAGATATTGGGCCCCCACCATCATTAAAGTGCGCAATTTGCTTGCAAGCTCGTGTAATTTTTGATAAAATCACAGACGATTCCAACATGCAAAAGGCATCTTTTTACGGTTTAATACAGGTTTGCCAGCTCCACAGCTCCTGCTCTCCGCTGTCCGTAGGAGGGACTGGCCGTCACAGCTGCCCGCGTGGATACGCTCAGGCAAACGACGTCTCTCACCGAGATAACTCAGATTGCTTTCTTGCTGTACTGCAGGAAACGGCCAAACCAAATGCCTTTTGCAGACGCACAGAACTAGCTAGCAGCCTCTGCAAACTGTCAAACGTGCGCCTGAGGCATCATCACTCAGGCAACAATCCCAGCCACGGGCCGCGAGCGCAGCCCCCGCAGCGGTCGCTGCAAAGCCGAGCTGCTCACGTTAGCCCTCTTCCAGCAGGCAACGCGCATCAGATGGGCTTATTCCCAGCGAAGGAACGTGCTCCTAAGTGACCTAAGGGATTTTCTATGGACACTAAAACTCACCCCCCCCCCCCCGATGCCCCCAAGTTTTTTTGAAGTGGGCAGAGAACGGAGGAATCCAACTTCGGGCCTCCTCCCTCCTTCTCCCTGTCTTTGCAATGCCCACAGGCTCCGGTTTCTCCTCCGCAAAGTCGAGATGACCTGAAGCTCCCTCAAGAAGGCCGCTGCGGGGTGCAAGACCCCGGACTCTGCCGACGGAGGGTACCCGATGCCACTGACTCTTCCTCTTTACAACCACGAAAGCGTGCCCGACTCTGCTTCCCGTCCTAAACCTGCACCCGGCCACCGGGGCACAACCTCGGAGACAGCGAGCAGCGCCTTCGCCCCAACCGCCTGCTCGCCGCCGGTTCGCCTGCAAGAGCGTGGCGGCTTGTTTAATATTCTGCGCTCATCTGACGCGAAGACAAATCCCACCGGAGAGTGGGAACACTGTCAGGAGTAATTAAGAAAAATGTCAGCGCCTAATGTCTAACCTGGGAAATAAATCTTTCTCTTGCAGGGCTGCTGGCTTTTTTTTTTCCCCAGCTCATTTGATCCGACCTAGCTGACGGCGCCTACGCTGCCCCTCCAGCGGGAACGCGGTGACTCCGGACAACGTGAAACAAGTCCCATATGGGAGGCTGTTGACCAGGGAAGGGTTTTCCCCTCTTCTCAGGCACAAAATTGGGCAGTAAGTGGCCTTTTTCACCCGTGTGGCTGTACATGAGCTCCCAGCTCATCCTGTCATCCCCTCCCCGGCTGCGAGGTACAGAAATCATCCCTGCGGGGCCATCGCAGGCTGCCAGGGAGACCATGTTCCCGAGAGCCCTGAGCTGTTACTGCATTTACTAACACAGCAAGGGGCAGAAGAGCCTTTTATTGTCATCTCCTCTAGTCAAATGAATGAAAATGCAATATAAGCTGGGAATAAAAACCGAATAATTAAGACTGCCAGCAGCTTCGATGGCACCATGCTCCCGGCGAGCGTGAGGCTCCTAGCCATCCAACATGAGCATTTTGAAAAGCCGGAGCACAAACTACTCATTCCCCTTCTCCCACGCCCCACTTTTGTATGAACGTGACACTTTCCATCCCAGCTAAGCAATTAAAAGAAAAAAAAAGGATTTCTCCGGAGAACCGTTGTGCGTGGACTCCTCAAAAAGGTCTGCTGCAGCCGGACGCCTGCCTCCGGCTCGCCGCTGAACAGCAGAGGGAGGAGGAAGAGGCTCTTGGCCCCAAGAATTACAGGCCGCTGCAAAGTTTGGACAACGCACAGTTATTCCTGGGCAGCAGTTCGGCTGGGGACCTCGTTTCTCAGCCCTCAGAGAGGGCCCGTTGGCTTTCCAGGCATTTCTGCCTTTCAATCTCCCTCCCAGCCATGAGCCGACATGTCTCTATGCGAGAGGAGAGTGTCCCATCCATCTTTTCCAAGCTCTACAGAAAGGACCACCAAAAGAGCTGTCACATCCCTCTGTCACGTTGACCAAAGAGGATGACAGCCCGCTGCTAGCACCCAATGCACTGCTGTAGTGTCCTGGCCGTGCCAACAGCACACGAAGGCAGCAGCAAGGCCGCGGCCCAACGCAGTCTCTTGGATTTGCTTTCCAGTTCCCTTCCTGAACACCCTCCCTGAAAACGTTAAGGGACCGTTATCAAAAAACTGCAAAAGCCAAAGAGTCACAGCTAGGCACCACACAAATCAGCCCACTTGCATGCAGTCATTAAAGAAACCACCAGCACCTTCCACTCCTCCAGGAGTCCGGCTGCAAAGCCACGGGGAGGGACGTCCCAGCCCCAAGTCGGGCCCCGGCTGAGCAGACCACAAGCGCTGCGGGCAGCAGATGGCTGCGGAGGTGCTCGGCTACTCACCGAAAGCCGAACATGATCTCGTCGTGGCGGAGGTGAGCGTCGTCATCGATGGACAGGATGGCCTCCGTCTCGATCTCGTCCCACGGCAGGAACCGGTTGTTCAGGCTGTTCTTCTCCGTGCGGACAACCTAAGAGGCAAACGCGTGACGGTTAGGGCGGCTGTAGGTGCGCAAACATAGATGAGACTTGGGGGCAGGGGCTACGCACCCCGTTAGCCGTCACGCTTCGGCATTGCTTTGCGACCCTTGCAATAGGGAAATATCTCCTAAGCAAAATATATCAGCTCTCACTCCGGCACCAGCTCCAGTTTCCAGCCCTTTCGCCTGTGGCCTCCTGCCCATCTCCAGCTCCAAAGCCGGACCCAACCCTCGCACCAGACACCCTGGAAACGCGATATTTGCGCCTGCCGCCCTTTCTCGCGCAGTGAACGCCGAGAGCCCTACGGCCTCGGCGGGAGGTCGGCTCTGCCAAACGCCTGCCGCGGACTTTCCCTGTTCCCTGTTCCTAGCCATGCCGTGCAAAGCCATACCGAATTTCCCCCTCTTCTTGCCCGCACCTTTCAAGCTGGACCCTCTCTCCCTCCCTGGCTCTCAGGTTTTTCGCTCGCCCGTCCCCAAGGCTTTTTGTTCGCAGCCCTGGCGGACGGATCGTTCTTTAGTTCGTCCTGCACTCTGCTTGCCCTTCAATGCCCCCCAGCCGTTTCCCCGGCTCTCCCCTGCGCACGAGCCGCTTTAAAAATAAAGTCCAGCCCGGTGAAAAGAATAAGGCGTCATGGCAGTAAAACTCCATTAAATAAGATTACATTTGATCGCATAAAAAAGGCCCACGCTGAAACCATTAGCAGTGGAAAATATTTGTATCGGGGATCTGTGTGACAGCTGGTCCGATTAAATTCCCATGTAAAGCCAGCGTCAGTGCTTTCATCTGTCAATAGCTACCGGGGGGTGGGGGGGAATGGGACATTCGACGAGACCGCATTAAAATATTTCATTGAAGAGCCATCAAAAGCATGAACAATTTATAGCAGGGAAGCGAGGAAATTACACAGCTATAAGCTGCAGTGGATCAGAGCCAGAGTCGAGGTGGCAGCGTTCACACACCGGGAGGGCCGCGATTCAATTCGGACCCGTAGGGGAAGGCTCAGACAACGCCGCGGCAGTGATTTCTTCCCCCTCTCCCTCCCTGACATGGGGGAGCATGACAAAATCCATATGGACGAATCTTGAGTGCGTTAAGCGTGATCCAGCGGATACCAGCAGGGATAGGGGGCCCATGGGGGGAGGGACAATCGCGGTGGAAACGGGTGATGAGGAAGGAAGCAGGAGAGGAGGCGACTTCCCACACACCGATATGGGGACCTGGGAGAAGTGGGCAATCAGGTAGCTAAGACTTAACGGGAAGATGGGAATCAAAAACTCTGGGGGTTTGCAGCAGACACACCAGGAGCTGCAGGAAGGCTACAGGCGCAGAAGCCCAGCCGCATTCAGGCCGAGGAGCACCTAGACCCAAACTGGCCAGCGCAAGAAGACCACCTCGCTAAGATCAACGTGCCATGGGCCTCATCTGGGCGTGACAGTCAGGAAAGCAGAGGAGCCAAGAGTGGTCCCCAACTTGCTATGACAAGGAGAATTTAGATTACATCGCCTCCCTTGCCACCGGCTGTATCTGTATCTGGCTTTAGCAAACACAACTTGTCTTGCTGCTGCACGAGGACCAGCTTTGCTGGCTCAAGGGCAGCAACACAAATCTTCCGGACAGTAAGAGCATGTAGGCGAGTCTACAGGATGACAAGATGAGTCTATAGGATGACAAGACCATGAGCATGTTTCAGGCTGAAGCTGCTAGCTGACCCTTTCCGGCTGCTCAGTGGGTCACGTTATGGCGTCGCGATCCTTGCTCCAAAATGAACATGACGCTAAAGGGTTGAAGCAAGGAAAAGGATTTAATATTACAGGCAAAGCAAACCCTGGAGGGTGCTCATCAGACAGGGCAGAAAACCAGACCTTGGCGGGGGGAGCTGAGCAGTTGTAGAGGAGCACAGGCATTTCACCTTGTTAATTTAGAACCATTAACCTCCATTTCTAGCCCTGCCCTAATTAATCATGAACGTATGATGGCATTTACAGGATCACCATTTTATTACGCGAGCGGTAAATGCCTTAGGAAATCTGCTGCCTCCCAGGCGCAGCCAACTCCTTTCCCGCCTGGCATGCCAGCTCCCAATTGCTTAGTAAAGACTAAGTCAGTGTCAGGACCGGCAGCTATTGCAAAAACCACTCAAGAAGCGCTTTCACAGTTTCTGACACAGGCAAGGGCCCCTCCTGTAAATCACAGCCCGTCTTCAGCAGGGAGCTATTCATCACGCGCTCTGGCTACCAACGACACCAAATGGGTTTCAGTCCCTAGCGGGTGTCACAGTGCGTTTTGGAAAGAAGCATCATTTCTCCAGACGAAGCCTTGCGAGAAACCCTGACCGTTATCAATTTCGGAATGAGTATCTTCCCTCCCTTTGCAGACCTTGCCTTCTGCAAAGTTTATTGAGCTACTGAAAACAACGCTGATATAATTTATCCA